GCACTCCGAACACACGCGGTGCAAAAGTGCCAACCAGAACAGGATTTGAAAATGCTACGGTGACGCTAGCCGAAAGCACATGTAGATTCGCCTAGGCACAGTCAAAGCATGTCGCAGTTAGAGCGAGTCGAAAGCCATGATTCCCACGCCGTTCACGTCTCTTTTCACCGCGATAGTAGGCCGTTACAGTTGTACTAAACATGCGCGGCGCGTGCATCCACGCGTGAGTCGTAATACGTATATCCTATTATTGACATGCGACCTGCGAAAGCGTACGGACAATAGTTTTGTGCCGCATACTACAGGCATACTGCACGTAAATCGCTGCTGTAAAGTGAGCTGGAGTCGCGCTTGAATATACGCAATGAGTATACTTACTCGTACAGTTCACTGGGCGAATAGTTTTTCCTGCTGATTGCAATTATATCATACAGGGCGGCCGAGCTCAGTGTTTTGCCTTGTGGACGGAAATCTGTGTAATCGCAAACCACCGCACATGCACGATTCCCGCGATGCGCTGTGAACTTCACAGGCTGTGCTCAGCAATCCCTTGCTCTTGCGCTGGTTGTTGTCGCATCAGATGACAGCGCAGTGGTACCCAGGTGAACTTTTATAAGTGGTTGCAGCTTCAACAGACACTTTTTCGCATTTTAAACTCCCAGAGCCACTGCATGCTATGCTAGCGAAGCGCGCCTTGGCATTTGTAAACAAATTATAGCGTCTCTGGGAGCGAGGGTATACCGCCGAAGGCGCCTGTGTGTGAGATAGGCGGGCTCTCGTCTATAGTATACAGTGAATTCGTTCTGGTGACATCGCTACATTGATACCTATTACTGTGAATGATTCCGAGTTACTGGGTTTGTTTTGGTGTATCTTGTAAGTTATGTAGGGTACAACTAAAAAAACATAACGAAGTAACTTTTGTCATTGTCCATAGCGAGACCTTACCCCGTGATATCGTACCTAAAGCGTCTGATGAATACGTGCAAAAAGTCAGCGATCAAGAACAGTGTTCTTCGCAACCACAAAGCTTGGGAGCTTGTGGTTAGAAGCTAACCACAAGCTTTCAAGCTTGTGGGTACCTTCGCACGTGCGTACCTTCGTACGTGGGCACCTTCACACGTGGGTACCTTCGCACGTGGGTATTGCGGGCAATGAAGAAGCGGATCGCCTTGCTTCGTCATGCAACCATGATGGCTGTGACTGTCCGGGAATTCTATGTACGATGGACAACACTCGTCTGCTTATACGCTGACACCTCCTAAAGCAGCACCCAGACCAGCGTGTGGTGAATGGATCGTTCCCTCCCCGTGTTCGTGGCCGTGGCTTGCCTCGTAGTTCCCGAGCGCTGTTGTACAAACTAAGAGTGGGCTCTGTACTGGTGCATGAAAGATTACACCGTCAAGGGCGTGTGCATAGCCTGTTGTGCGCAGCTTGTGGCTCATGCGAAACACGAGCATATTGTAGGGCACTGTCCCACATTTGCTATGCAGCGGTCTTTGCTGATTAAGGAATATAAATTCCTAGGACTTAAGTACGTGACTCTAGATGACTACCTCTTTCCGAGTGGCAGTGCTTCCCGACGCGACGAGGCCCACCGAGCTCTCCTTACATTTCTGAACCAAACAAACCTGGTCACCCGTTTATAGAGGGTCTTTTTTATGTTTTTCTATTCATACCCGTTAAAGTCTTTGTCATTTTTCCCCTTCCTCATCTTCTTTCCTTTTTATCCCCTCTATTATTGGTTTCCTCTGTTTCTTCCCTCCTCCCGAAAGAGTGAGCAGGCGTTGTGCCCCTCCAGGTGGCAGTTACCAGCTTGCTCTCTCCCTCTTTCCTCTGTGTCCTTGTGTATCTGTGTATGCAAATCAAATATTATATAATTCAAGCTTGTGATAAAAGCATTCGCTCATCAGCCTACTTTGTACCATTAATGAATGAATCAATAAATTAATCAGATAACCTTTTATTTCTCTCTGAAGATATCACCGCGTCAACAACGCAATGCTTGTGCTATGCGGAAATAGAACCTTCAGGTTTTTACTAGCTCACACTTGTTATTCATATTTCCGTCTCCTATTTTCGCAGACTAGTTGCGCCCCCTTTTGACTGGCCAGGGAGAGATACCAAGTGAATGCAGCAGAGGAAAAAAAGAACTCCGCGGGGTGGTGTGAGCAACGTGCACGACATGCATAATACAAGGGTAAGCTTGCAAACAGCGATGCAAGAGAGCAACAGTGAAGCACTTGTGTTGTGCTGGGCCCATGTATGCATGCGTAGAGTTATTTAAGTTCAATTCCTATAGCAACACGCTCAGCTTCTTGTCGTTTTGAGCTCGACATGACTGGTAGGTGTGTTTCAGATCGATTCGGACAGTGACGTAATCATGCAGCCAGCTTCTGGCTTTCTGACAATATATCAGCACGTCAAAATGAGTGGTACGCACATTGATCCAATCAGAATATTAGTGGAGAAACGGCACAACCACACCAACTTTTCTATTGGGCATTTTTATTGGGCATTATTAAAAAAAGACAAAATTTTGGCAGAAAACACAACACTGGCGCCTTATCGCAATTATAGGCATGTGCAAGTCTTACTCATTCGTATCATTGTGAATCACTGAATATTACACTCGGTAACTCTGCCAGTTAGCCCAAGCCATTTCTCTGTCAAGGTTGCACAGTTCATCGTAAAGGAAGCTATATCGGTAGGGAAAAAAAAAGGGAGGCGATAACAATGGCACGACGAATGAAAGGCAACGAGCAGCCACTCGCTGATGACGATCTCTGCCTTCTCTCATGCCGCCGCTATGACTCCCTCTACAAAATACACCTTGAAATGCCGACTGGCAAGCTGGGCTAACATTCACTTCCTCAAGCTGTCTATTGGAACCTGTCAGTTTGGTGCAAGACACAGTGCTATTCTGACTGTGCTACGCAAATTCAATAATGCATCAGGAAGGTTGGGCTGCTTGTGCTACCGAACACAACACTTGTTTTTCAAAGTTTTTATTTGTATCTATTTCAATGAACATTTTCTATACGACATTTACTTATATCAAACTTAGCCTACTTTAAGTTGTACAGCGTTCAGAATGTTTTAAATGCGAAGCATTTCTTAGCGAACTTTGGCGACTTTGAGCGTATCTATCTATCTATCTATCTATCTATCTATCTATCTATCTATCTATATAGCCGCTTACGTTTGGGTGCTCTCATGGTCACCCCTTAACTTGGCATGAACCAAAATTAGCTGGGCAGGGTAAGATGGTTTTACGAATATGACGCGCTGGTCAAGACATGAATAATGACACAATCCCGTCGCGTGAGTCGTCAAATACTTTCCGCCAGGTAGTGGCGCAAGCCCACGGGCGGGTATGTGCCGCTGGAGTGCGGGTATGTGCCACAGGTGATTGACACTTAGTATCTTACCCAGAAACGACGAGAACGCACATGGGAAATTTTAACGCGCGAGCTTTAATCAATACCCGATATCGGTAGCGTCAACCAAACGAAGGCATCGAATAAATGTCAATGTTAAGGAATATCTTATATAGGTAGCGTTCACTCCCCGACGAATGCAAATAATAAACGTTAGGGATCAGCAGGAATCGAACCCAAGCATTCTGCGTGACAGTCAAGCATTCTACCGCAGAGCAACGCCAGGTCTCGGAACTATTTTTCAAATAGACGCTAATCTTCGTGAAACATCAAAAGTGGTTGCAATGCTGCCGACCCATTTTTATAAGCATTACGTATATATTGCTTTGATACAGCCGTCACGTAGGGTTTACGTCAATTGTGCTTAGGTGCCATGCACTGAAGTTGATTTAGTGTAGCAGTGTCCAGGGCCAGCGCTTCATATCAGCTTCTGGTGTTGCAAATACGCATGTTCCACTTGACATTGTTGTGGAAGTGCAAGCAACTGGTTATATAAATACCTGCAGCTCTTCAACATATTTTTGTGCGTGCAACATTTGTACATATATTTAGCGTCTTTTTATGACGTGTCGTTCAATAGAAAATAATTGCAACATGGTCACCTTTCCCTCCGCATGTTTGGCGTAACATCGATTCCCAGGTACGTGGGATCTGCCGAATGTTTCATCTTTCTCTAGCACTGCTCACTAGAATTAACAGTATGCTCAACCAACCCCGCATATTAGCTATTTTTCCTAGGCAACAAAACAAAACTTGTCCAGGCTTTGTGCTATTTAAAGCAGCAACCTAGAGAATTAACATTTTGGTTTATTTGTTACTGGTTATCTAACGCACGCTTTTATTTGCTTTAAAGTTGATATATTACAAGAGGAAGTAAGTTCCCACTAATATTGTATTTGTAAGTGAGGTAGGTGTAGTCGTGGCGAGTACGCGATCATTTGCAGTAAACCTGCCAGCCCACATGTGAAGCAGTATTTATTTTTAATATTTAATATTCAATTTAGTATTTATTGAAAGTCCTGTCTTCAACTTTTTCTTATGGTTCTCAGCCCACTCGTGGTTTGTATTCAGAGTTCTGGGCTCTGAAAATGAACTTTCGACACGGTCTCCACAACAATACTAAAATGAAACACTGCAGGACAACCTAAGCGAGGCATAGTATCAAGCCCTTTCAGAAAGCAGATACAAATCGATTGACACTCACATCAGCAGCTTGATACATCTCAATTCAACAACCTAATGACCTTGCCAACACACACACACACTTTTGAGAATTACCTACACTTATGTACACGCTTTTCATAATCAAGTAGTAGCAAATAATCCTTTACACACTTTCAGAACGTTGTATACGCAAAGGTTACAGGCACTTTTACACACTTCACCGGCCTATTCGTTGCCTGGGTGCGCCAAAGCAGACATGACCCACTTTCTGTGGAGCTGTACACGCAATCTGCAGTTATAAAGTGGGTAAGATATCCCTTAAGAACGCTGGTGAGCTATCGCAATCAGCTTGAAATCAACAGACTAATTCACCTTCTATCTTTTTCCCCCCTTTTGTCCCTTGTTTCGGTGCAGGGTAGTGAACCGAACGTTGCTTCTGGTTCACCTCCCTGCCTTTCCTTGCTCCCTTTCTCTCTTTGGGCTGTTCAGCAAGCCAAGCTTATACGACTGAAGATGCAATCCCACTTAGCTTTCTACCCTCAGTGGCTCAGCCAACATCCATTAGTCCTTCAATAAAGTTTCACCCCACCATACCATAACGCTGATTCACGCACCCAAGCAGCACATTCATCGAGCTTCAGAACTACATTGCATATCAAACATTTTCGGCGTGGTGCCAAATAGCACCTAGTACATTTTTACAACTTCGGACGCGCTTCACTGTCTTCCTAGCGGAATTTCCACGCTATAGTTGTTCGCAGTACACACTCCGGAAAACGTAATTTTCTGAAAGCTGTCCCAACTTATTGACTTTTCTTGCCGTTCGAGCTGTTTACTGACGTCTCAGTTCGAGCGCCTCCACTTGCCACTCCATCGTATTTTGCCGCCGCCTTTGCCCGTCTCATAGCTGTGTTTTCCTTTTCCCGCGTGTATGACTTGATGTAGAAGTTTACGAACAGTGTCAGCACCAGTACGGTCTGCGCGTTCGCTACGTGAATAAGGTGACGCGGAAAGCCGCAGTCCACGAACAAGGGAATCGACATGTGCACCAGGAATATGACAAACTGCACAATCTGCATCGTGGTCAGATACTTCTTCCACCACAGATACTTTTGCACGGATGGTCCTAGCGTTGCCAGGAAGTAGTAGGTGTACATGACGACGTGTACGAACGCGTTAATGGCAAGACCCAGTGCCGGTTGACCTTCGGGGGCGTACAGCACCCAGAACCAGCAGTTGACCGCCACAATGGTGTGATGAATGACGTGCAGGTGCGTGATCTGATTGAACTTCTTGCGCAGCACAAAAAAGACGGTGTCCAAAAGGTCAGCGTACCTCACGGCTATGTACCACCAACCGTTGCGATATTGCTCTTCCAGGCGCTCGTCCATGTAACCAGTGATGCCTTGGCACCAAAGGCTGTAACGTCCAGTGGGCAGGTACGTCTCGTAAAGCACAATGTAGCAGAACTTGGCATTGAGAACGACCATTGCGAGGTTGTAGAAGCGGATTAGATTGGTTATCTCGAATGGCGGTCGGTCCTTCATCCAGCGCGGACCGAGAATCTTCACGAAGTACAGGTAGAAGAAGATTAGGGGAAAGACGAACATGGGGTTCATGACTAGAGGGTAGTCGCGTGTTCTGGGGTCACCCCATTCTTGGACTTGCGTTACGAGGGTGATGGGATTCCAGCTCATGGTCTTGTTGACATTGATGGCAAATGTTCCCGTGTTGGAATTCATTGCAAGGAGATGGGCTTGTGTTGAGCTTCTGGAAGATAAATTTCAGAAAATTTATTTGCGATTTTTACTCCAACTCTTTTTGCTGTTCACCATGTTCGTGAAGCAATTGACACCTGTGTATTTCTAATATATTAAATTACGTGTAATCTAGCGACGTATGCATCTTCATTGATGCTAAAGATTAGACTGAAGTAATGTAAGCAACAATATTCAGCCTCCAGTGGGTTTCGAGCGTACATTCTTTCATACGAAGCATTTTTTTTCAGGCGCTTACGATGGCTTGTGTAAAGTATTCCCATATTGTAAATGTGGATCTTCAAGGCTCCTTACTTACATAGCATAAACCGCGTTACTAGAATTTATCGGTTGCTTCACTTTACCTGACGTATTTCTTGCTATCCCGCGTGCAGTATGTGTTGTAAGTAAGCCTTAATATTCGTAAAAGGATAATAAGAAACTTACCTTTGAAAACAGTGAGGTCTGAAGAGAGGCTCCAAGCAGCTGGCTCTCGGAAACGTTCTATGCGCTCAGGTAAGACAACTACTGCCACACGTCTTACTTTAGCGGCAACATCTTCGAGTAGATACTGCTACACACGGAAATTTCTTCCTTGTCGCTCGAGCTAAAGAGCTGCTTACCTACGTACTCTTTAAAGTGAATTGTCACTTCTTTTTCCCGTTAGCTGCGTCACAGTGATACCTCAACCTCCAAGTGCGAGAGAAAACCAGAGATGACGTTTAACGCCTTCTTTTTCTTATGTTAAATTACGTTTTCTGCACGTCTTGTTCGCTGTTCTTTTTTTTTCACTGGACCATTGTTCTACAAAGTAACCACGCCATGAATCTTAATGGGGAAAGAATTGAGGCCACGTTGTCAAGGCAACTGACCATTGTCTTTTTGTCTAAACCCCGTCTGGAATATTAACGTGTGAGGGAAAACTCCTTGCGTGTGGATTCCAAGTAGCTGTGACGCAGGTAAGGTTTTCGTCCTCAACGCCTTGAATCTTGAAACGAATTTGGGGGTGTCTCTACAAGGTACAGGTGTGCTTGTGGGTGTGGTTTCGGCTGCTTTGGTGTAAGTTGGTTGAAAAGACAAAAGAAGACACGTGTGCCGCTTTAAGTACAGCTGCAAGGGGATGCTTTCATGCTGCAAATTATTAATGACGTTAAGAACAAAGAAACGAAACACGAAATATCATCTTTAGGCTTTTTTCTCCACAAGAGGACTGCAAGGGACGCCAGAGAGTGTCAACGTTCAGTTCTGGCGTAGTACATCACCAAGCGGTCAATTAAACAAGTTGATAATGTTTCTTAAGCGTAATCTTTACGAAATTCAGGTAGAATAGAACATAGCACAGCGCTAATATGATAGTATTTGGGGCTCTACTTTCTCAAAATTACGATGTGATTCGTGGAAACCATATACAGTCAATTGCTCCGTAAATTTCTGTTTTTCGAAATTGAAGGAGACATCCACTATTTTGAGTCCTAACGTGCAATTTTATCTAACCACATGGTCCTCGCCTTGTTTGGAACGCCGCCCCTGCTTCAGAAAATCTCCCATGACCTATAGGTCGGCCGTCAAGCACCGTAACAAAATACCACCGCGTCGAGTTGAAAAAACAGGGATGCGAATTGTGCCTGAAGTTAAAGTACTCCCGAAGGTGGATGAGGGCAGATATCTGCTTGTTTAAAAAAAGGACCCATAACGCTATTATTACGTTTCGAGTAGAGAGCATGTATTTCTATAGGTACATGTTAAAGGGTCCGTGACACCCTATATTAACGCGATAGCGTTAAAGAGCTCGTGTCGCAAAAAAACCCGCCGCCGGCGAAAAAGTCTTGCAAGGCTTATTTAACGCATTTTGTTTGACAGGTGTCGCGATGAAAACGAGCCCATTCAGCGATAATAGCGCACGCTTGTGCAATCTATGGTGTGCGTGCTTGTGTGTGTAACAAAATATATGAATAAGTATGCCCCTAGAGGTTTTAGGGTGCACTAGGGGCCGGATTTCGCTATCGCGTTCAACTCTTAAAGGCGAAGCTTAAGGGTCCCCCAATTTTTCGATCATAATCTGTGTTATGTTGGTTATTTCTTCTGTATTTATAACTAAGCTGGAGAAATTCAAAAGAGTTGACTGTTGGGCGAGTTGGTGCTATGACATAGACACCATCGGGAGGGTGTAACTAAACACAAAACACATAAAAAAATCGGAGCATATCCACGGAGTGAAATGATGAGTGGGGCGAAGCGTCAATACGTCCATCTGTGCTTCGGTTCGTCCGTCCGTGCGTTCGGCTGTGTGTTAGTCCATGTGTCCGTTCATGCATCCATCCATGCGTCCGTCTGTGCATCCGTCCGCACGTCCGTCCATGCATCCTTCCCTGTGTCTCTTTGTGCATCCGTCCGTCCGTATGGCTGCCTGTCTCTCTGTCCATCCGTCCGTTCGCGCATGCGTCCATGTGTCCATGCGTCTGACCGCGTTCAAGAATGCAGACGGCGCGCGGGTAACACCGACGAGTGTGAACTAACCCTATTGAAAAAACGTCCACCATAGGAATGGTGGATTCCACCGTCCACTATTTTCGTGGATCATGGTGCTGGAAAAGTTGGTGGCACATGGTGTATGGTGGCGCATGGTGGAGCGGATGGTGTATGGCGCGCTCCAGCCGGCACTGCTGGAGCGCGAAGCACCGTGACGAGCTGCCACTAAAAATAATAAAAATAATTGTATAAAAAACGATGTAGAAAGCACCCGTAAAAAAAAAAAAAGGTGCAGCAGCGCGGAATCGAACTTGACACCATCAGATTCCCAACTAACTACTGCACCACGCCGCCAGATGGCAACTTCCGTGATAAAAAAAGTAGATAACTCACAAACTCACTGTTTAACTTCAGGTCTGTTTTCCGATGGAGGCGGAAATGTTGTAGGCCCGTGTGCTCAGATTTGGGTGCACGTTAAAGAACCCCAGGTGGTCTAAATTTCCGGAGCCCTCCACTACGGCGTCTCTCATAATCATATAGTAGTTTTGGGACGTTAAACCCCACACATCAATCAATCAATCAATCAATCAATCAATCAATCAATCAATCAATCAATCAATCAATCAACTTCAGGTCTGTTTGTCGCTTGCTCTAGATGGACGGGATCTGCACCTGCTACTAAAATTTGCACATTTGATAAACATGAACAACTGCTGCCTGTAACAATTGCCACTGCGAAAATGGCAACAGCGCTATGTTTTTGTTACAATTTACAACCGGAAAAAAAAAAACAACTCAGTGGACTGAGGAGTCGGTAGAGTTTATCGGTGGTTACTGCCAACTTTAATACCTGTTTCTCGCTCCATACAAAGGGCGATATCTGTTCAGGCTTTATGACGCTTCTATGCTCATTCAATAGGTACGCCCACACAATTGATTGTGATGTTTTTCGCGCAACGCACAGCGCAGTCGTGCCAGCGCACCTCTGTTGCTCTGTCATTGGGAACAACTACATAATAGCTTGACCAAAATGAATGCAGTGCGCCGGAAACAATATGCTATCATACTGGTTCAGTAAGCATACGAATAGACGAGTATGTGTTCTCGCATAAGAACAAGTGAAGTGCCGGCGAGTGCGACCGGCGGCAGTCGGTGAGGGGAGGCGTACATTTGGTGGGAGGGCTGCATGCGCGTTGCATCGATGTTTGTCGCCTCTTGCGGGGACACTGCACACCATAAAAAAGGCTTCATTTAGGTTTAATGATGCCACAGATGTGATGGATTGTCATTTTTACTCGTCGAAATTGCGTATTCTGAAACCCAGAAACCCCGATAACACTTGTATGGGGTTGGTCGGTAGGACTAACTTTTGGTGGAAATCATGGTGTTAGAACACAAGGGTGAAAGCCAAATTCACTGGGGCTCGTCTCGACGCATGTCGAAAGTGAAAGTTTGGGAATATTCGCACGCACTTCGTTAACTTAAAAGTACGGCTGAAGCAGGAGAGTGCGCAAGAATTGCCAGAGTTGGGTTTCTGGCGTGGCGACATCAAGTGACCACTGTGTTCTGCTCTAAACATGGCAAACATGGCAACCAACTACTATGACGCCGAGGCCTTCCAAAAAGTTGCTTCACTGCACAAAAAACAGTTATCACTGATTCATCTTAATGCACAAAGCCTTCAAAATAAAAAAGAATCTGTTGACCTCCTTCTGAACAACTTGAATCACCGGTTTGACTTCTTAGCTTTCACCGAAACGTGGTCTATTGATAACCGTGATAACATACAGTTTACGAACTACAGTTGTGCATCAATCTGTAGAGAAAATAAACGCGGGGGTGGTGTGTCGATTTATGTTCACGAGAGCGTTAAATACAATATTGTCAAAGAATACACTGTAATATCGACGCATTTTGAATCTGTCATGGTAAAATGTCAAAGCCTTTTAGTAGCTGCTCTATATAGGCCCCCTTCAGGTGCTATGACTAATTTCCTAGATTTCATATATGAAATGCTTGAGTACTGTGAAAAAAGTGGCGCACGGGCAATTATTACTGGAGATTTTAACATAGATATGCTGTCCTCAAGTTGCAACAAGCAAAACTTTCTTGACCAAATGCTTTCTTTTGGTTATGAAAATACAATTTATGCAGCCACCAGGATTACACAATTAACTGAAACTGCATTAGATTTATGCTTCACGAACTGTAAAAATGAGGTATGCGCAGGGGTTTTGACAGCCGGAGTCAGTGATCACCTACCAATTTTTGCATTTTTTACCTGGGCAATAAAACAACGAAGTACAGTAAATCCTACGCATTATCGAAAAATTAACCAAGAAAATATCAAGGTTTTCCAAAACGTTACCGCACGAGAGAGCTGGAATGGTGTTTACAATAACGCTGACCCTGTGAGCGCCTACGACATATTTATAACAAAGATAACAGAGCTTTACAATCTAGCCTTTCCTTTCGTGGCATACAAAAAACCCAAGAAGGCAAGAAAACCATGGATTGATGCTGCACTTCTAAAAAGGAT